TTGCTTATATGTACAACCTCGTGATATCTACTTTATAAAAACACACATGTGTATTTAATTGTAACACGCATCACCATGTTAAAAATATGTATATTCAATAGGCTGATATAGATGGGGCGTCAACTGGCCTGTCTTTCATCTGAGTGCCAAGAGAGATGGGGTCTCGGTCACTTCATGTATGAACGTAAAATATGGAACAAAATGAAAAATAGTGGCCAAAATCCTCGTCAAAGGTCCCAGCGTGATTTATGTTTCCGCGAGGCCATTAATAAGTTATAGTTCATGACTGCGTGACCCTACACAGGATTTTTTTAGTATTGCACATCATCTCTTGTAAACTTAAAAAAGTACCAGCTTTTTAATCGGAAAAATCAGAATTCAATTATATAACTCATTAAATAACACTGACTTTTTATCTTGCTCAAAATGATTCCATGGCCTACAGTCTGTACAACGGACCTATTCTGGAGACGTAGCATGACGCTCCACTCGGTCACAACAAGATAATCTGTCCTTACCGACGACTATTTGAAGTTGAACGCTTCGCATATTTAAAGGATTTCAGATTGTCTCGGATAGGTGTCAGAAATCAAAGATACGAGATTTTTTTATTTAACGTCACATATTTAAAACAATAAACATTACCATTGTAGTGCTGAAAAATCAGAATTCAATTATGTAGCACATTAAAAAACACTGACTTTTTATCTTGCTTAAAATGATTCCATGGCCTACCTGGAAAAAACAGTTTTGTCTTTCACTCCTGACCCAGTCTATTTTGTTGTCTGCCAAACGCATAGTAAGAGTCATTGGGTGGGGATCTCAACTGTTTCCAAGCTGTGACTCAGAAACTAGGTCCCTAGGGTTGTGACCAGACCCCAGGATCAATTCTAATATCATGACTGCATTCGTCTCTTTTTGCCCATCATTTGTATTTATAGTTTTCCGGTGAGGATCTCAGTCGTTTGTAAGTTATGACCCAGGGGTTAAGTCTGCATGTTGGGGCAGACCTTGTGATCAATTATAATATCATGACTGCATTTGTCTCTTTATGCCCAACAATTGTATATATAGTTTTGGGGTGGGGATCGAAACCATTTCGAAGTTATGACCCAGGGATTCAGTCTCCAAGGGTGGGGCAGACCCAAGGACCATCATGGAAGCATATGTGCATTCATCTCTTTATACTCAGCAATTGTATATATGGTGATAGGGTGGGGATCTCAACTGATTCCAAGCTGTGACTAAGAAACTAGGTCCGTAGGGGTTCAGTCAGGTCCCGGGGTCTATTCTAATATCATGACTGCATTTGTCTCTTTATGCAAAGTATTTGTTACCATAGTTTTGGGGTAGGATCTCAACCGTTTTAAAGTTATGACCAAGGGACTATGTCTCCAAGGGTGGGGCTAGACCCTAAGGCCATCCTGGAAGCAAATGTGCATTCTTCTCTTTATACTCAGCAATTGTATATATATGGTTATACGGTAGGGATCTCAACCATTTTCAAGTAATACACTTTTTTGGGCCCCACCCCTTAGCCGGGGGTCAGCCCCACCATTTGTACAAATCCCTGCCTCCCATGAATGCCTCAGATCAAATATGATTGATATCCATGGCATAGTTCTACAGAAGAAGTTATTTATAGCAACATAGCCAAATTGCCCCCTTTTGGCCCAGCCCCTCAGCCCCACCATTTGTACAATTTTGAATTACCACCACCTCAGGGATGCTTCTAGTCAGATATGATTTATAT